AATTTTTGCTGACATGCCCGCGATACTAATCATGTAGATAAAATTAAAATAAACCTGTACAGTTGTCCGTACAAGCATAAACTCTGAAATCAAACCCTTGGTCTAGTATCAGCACCAGATAAATTATAGAAATTATGGTATCCTTACCAAGTTCAGTAGCTGCTTCCTCGGGAGTAGTTGGGTCTGGTGGCTTCGTCTTCCTCAACTTGTACACCATGAAGGACTTGTAGAAAGGCTTGTTCTTGATACGGAAGTCCATGCCCACGCTCTGATGACATCCACACAGCTTCAGGAGACGCTCACAGAGGCAGTATACTATCTGGAAAGGTTTGAGTGAAATATTTTTTGTTGGTGGTTAAAATGCGACTGATGAAGAATGGGTCTCATGTTGGAATCAATCTTACTATTATATGAAGAGGAAGAGTTTGCTTGTTTGTTTGAACGCGCTAATCTCCGTATCTACAAGTCTGATTTAAATTATTCATTTTGTGTTGGACAACGCATTTATCGAGGATGACTATAGGCTATAAAACATCACGCTACGACCAATAGGAGCTAAGCAGAGCGTGTGAAACCGCGCGGAAGTAGCTAGTGTATTAATACGCGAAAAAGACTAGTATTTTATTCCGTTTTTTCTATATTATTTGATCCTTAAAGAGTACAAGTAGTGTGGATGGTCAAAACCGTTGTGGGTAACGTGGAATACCTAAAATTAGATTAAAATATTTACCTTTGGCAGCTCCCTAAAAGCTCTCTCCTCAAGGCCATGTAACGTAGCTCGCTGTCGGTACAGATACTGTTTCAGCGTGAACTCTGATGTCTTCTTATCTTTGGTCAAGTTTAAGGTTTCTCTGTATACAATTGAGAAACAGTTTATTAGGTATGTACATTTATATTTTTATATTTATGGAGCATTTATTTTGTTCGAGGTTTATTTTCGATTATCCACGGAAATGTAATAAATCTAGAGATACCTATATTTTTGGAAATGCCGAATGATAAAAATGGAACTGGTTTCTCTCATTCACTGAGAGATCAACTGACCTATTCAATTCAAAATTCAAGTAGGTTATTTTTCTACTCTACTAGCAAACCCGGCGAACTCCGTTTCGCCACCAGGTGGCTTCGTTTTATGTAACATTATTTGCTATAAACCTCACGTAGCCCGAGACCTTTCCAACGTGCGTTCTGGAGTTATAGCGTCAGGAAGGAAAACCCGACTTATTTTTATATAGTAGATTATGACTTACAAACTTATTTGGTAAATATAACTTACTTGGAACTAAAAACAATAGTCTGTGGCAGCATGTAGTGCTCAAACTGCTGTACGCAGAGGATCTGACCAGAAGTCTGGACTGACTTAGGCCTTTTCTTACGAACTAGGCGGATGGCATCATTGGCTCTGATGCGGAGCGAGTAGACTAGGTAACAGGCTATTAGGACACCTGTGCGACCTAGACCTGGAGGGGGAAAGGCAAAAGATGGTTATTTGGAGTTTCTTGCGAGATGATCTTTGAAGTAATCTTCATGTATGAAAGACATTAATGTATTTGTAGATATTTGACTTTTAAACCAATTTTATTACATGTTACCGACTTCAAAAAAAAGGAGGACGTAAGTACTATGTTCGGCTGATTATTTATTTTTTTATTACTCGGCCATTTGTGAACCGATTACCAAAATTCTTGTTTTGTTTGAAAGGGTATACCCCGAGATTAAGGAGCTCATATCATTATGATATGGTACAGGTTTCAAACCTAGTTCAGGCACATGGCATAACATAGCAATAAGAATATAGAATTAAGACATACGAAATTTCTGTTTGTATTTTTTGAATAAATGATTTATTTATTATTATTTATTATATAACTTAATGCCCACAAAATTGTAAATTAGGTATCTATTAAAGTTTTAATGAATAATTTTGTATTGAACTTATGGCGCCGACTTCTAACCTATCAGTGGCTGATACTGATAGCTTAGAAGTCAGAACTAATAATAATATTTTTTTGGCTTTTTAGTTTTGACTTTTTGTTTGTTATTAGTTTTTGGTTTTTTGAATAACGTTGCCTGTGCCAGACTTTGTCCTATGTCGTACTATGCATTTAAAATTACGGGTGATATCTTGAATCGCAACAAATTGAGTTACCTACTTATCTTGAGCCATTTTCACCGCTAAAAATAGCCTAAGAGATACGTTCTTATGTTCGGATAATTGTTCTTTAGGTATAAGATAGAGGTTGCATACAAGACTGTATATTTTGTACTATACATCAGTTAATTAAAATTACTGAGTTTTACATTGTTTGCTAATAGGTACTTTGTATATTTGACTGTGATTTAGTACATTTTGGATTTTGACTTTAACTTTCGAGTTGGCAATAGATTAAAATGATTAATAGCTATATCCTAAGTACACTTTGGAGTCTGTTTAGGTATCCATCTGCAAAATAACAAAGTATTATATACTTATATTGACTGCCTCGTTGGCCGAGTGGTCACAAGTGCAAGTGGCAAGGGGTCTCGGGTTCGATTTCCAGGTCGGACAAAGTATTACTGGGTTTTAAAATTTCAGTAGTAGCACGGAGTCTGGAAATGAGACCGGTATATGGCAATAGGCTCAACCCCTATTACATGGGACTCATAACATAAATAGTGAAAAGACGGCACTTAATTCCACTGGACATTTTTTTTAAAATAAAGATTGAAAAAAAAATTGTACAGTGGAATTAAGTGCCGTAATGCGCACCTCTGCCTACCCCTTCTGGAAAAAAGGCGTGATGTTATGTTATGTTGTATATATTTATATCAGCCGATATACTTACCGGAAAGAATTAATGCACATGCAACTACCAAAGGTACCTAACATACTAACGAAGCAGTTAACATTGACATATTTTCTGATAATTATCTGTAATTTATAGGTAAACACGTATAATTTATAAACCAGATCTATTCCGCAAATAACACACACTATTACAGTGCATTTTTCTAATTCTCTCAGGAAATCCTGTGTTGCTAGCGAATTTAGAGACTGAGTTTAAAACTCAGTCTCTAGATTCGCACTGAACATTGAAGACAATATCAATCTAGTAAATGTAACATTGTCCTTCATCATCGAAAATGGCTAAAATAGTGTATAATGTGTCTATGGGCGGCGCCGATTGCTTACCATCAGGTGATCCGTCTGCTCATTTACCGGTTAATCCCATAAAAAAGCTATTAATCGGTAATACTATTTAAATAAAAATAAGCAAAAAAGTAGTACTTTGTAAATTCTTGATTATACCTAAACCAATATTTTTTAAACGATGGTATTTCCTATTACAGGGACTAGGTTACCTATAAATCTTTTGTAAAAGCCTTAAGTTTTATTTTTAGACAAAGGAGATAGAAGAACAAATAAAATATGTATTAGTTAACTTCATTTATAAGTTAGAAGGTTCCCGGAACAACGGAAAATAATAACAAAACTCTGCCATTTATTTTATGACATTAATTTAGGTACATTAAAACTTTTGTCACGCATTCGTTAAGGTAGTAGCTTGCTAGCTTGCTAGTCACATTTTGTTTGGTCATCTTATATGGTAGTCGAAAGGTTAAACTAGTCTTTAAAGGAGATACAAACGTTTTGGTTATTCATTCATTCGTTCTTTATCATAACAATGAGAATCAGAATAGAGAAGAAAAAGATTTTTTTTTAGTTCAATTTTTGTAACTTACCTATCTAATGTTTTATTTATAAATAACTAGCTTCTGCCCGCGACTTCGTACGCGCAATCCCGATATTTCCCGTTCCCGTTCTTGATTTTCGGTAAAAAGTAAAAAAAAGAATTGGGTAAAAAGTATCCTATGTCCGTCTCCTGGTTCTAAGCTACCACCCCGCCAATTTTCATCCAAACCGATTTAGCCATTCTTGAGTTATAAATAGTTATAAATAGTAACTAACACGACTTTCTTTTATATACATAGATATAAACGTAAATAAAATAAATACTAACTATTACTAAATAAAATAAAAGAAATATAAACAATTTAAGGAGTAAATGTTTTAAATTACTACTAACTTGAAAAAGAAAATATATTTTGGAACAAGCAAATAAGTTAATGACCAATCGGACGAAAAAGGTCAATATATTGTTGTAATTAAAACAATATTGACATCAGTTGCATTATTTTGCATTATACATCGTCAAGTCATCAGTTGCATTATTTTGCATTGTAATGTGTACATTTTTATTTCAGTCACATTCACATTTGACCCTCTGCCCTTATTAGGTAGGTATTAATTTTAATAATCATAGTTATATTAAGTCTTTAACAGAAAAAATACTACTGATAGGTAAAATCAGTTAAATATCTAAAGGGTTACAATAGTTTTGTTTGTCAATCGCTAAAATCAAACACAAAAACTGTTGTTTGCACTTTAATTTTAGAAACAAAAGCGGCAAAACTGTGATACATTTATGATTCGATATTAATTTAATGTTTTGTTTAGTATTGTTACGAGTACCTACATACCTAAATACATATGAAAATATCTACTCAATAGATTAAGTGTTGTTGAAATGTTGTTAAAAATGCAATTAGCAATTATTATTCCGATAACAATATTTATATCTTGCGTAGCTATTATTAAGTATTACATGGCATTGACTACGATCCATACAATACTACCTGGTTACCTCTTTTATGCTCGAATTCAAATAACTCTTGAATCGTCGTGGAATTTACGGAGCACCTTTGTCAGTCAGTAAGAGTCTGACAGTCTCCTTCGTCCTCCCCAATAGAGGGAGTGCCTCTAGGATTTCCCACGTTGGTGTAAACAAGGTAGATTCTACATGACATCCCTTAATGCCAACAACAACAATATAAATAAGATAAACAATTCCTTACCCTACACCGAATTTTTCACAAAATTTATCTCTACTTGATGTACCAATTAGTTTCCTCCATGTTTTACATATACCGGAATCTTTTTGTCTTATGCGATAGTCAATTTAACTAGTCAGTTCTACACTTTTGTTCCAAACTCTTTCCACGAGATCTTCATTGTTAGCTAGTCCCTTGTGTTTCACTTCACAGCATTCCGAGAAATACTTCCCTCGCACGTTCTGCACCTCTTCAGCGACACACAGGTGGACAACTGTCTGCGCTCCTTCTTTAGGCGTCTTAAAGTTCAGTAAATCACAAAGAAAAGTAAATATTTTTCGAAACCAAGGAGGCAGTTTGTTGAATATATTCGTTCTGACCAAACCGGGATGTAAACAGTTCACTGATATTTCTTCCGGCAGTTTCTTAGCCAACGCCTTGGCCCACATTACGCCACACAGCTTGCTGTTGTTGTAGTTGTAAAACATTGCTATCAAGCTGTGCCCGACTATTTTATCCAACGTATCGACATGTATGTTCCCGAAGAAGTGCAATATAGATGACACTATGACAATCCTGCTTGGTTTGCTCGCGATGAGTTTTTCTGTCAGCAGTTTTGTGAGCAAGAATGGTCCGAAATAATTGACTTGCATCACGAAGTCGATTCCATCCTCAGTGTACTTAGGTTTATCGCCACCACAGCCTGCATTGTTCACTAAGATGTCTAGCCGGTCAAATATATCGTTGAAATCTGCAGCGAACTTCCTGATGCTGCTAAATTTCGACAGATCTAGGGGCATATACTCGACTTGCTTGTTCCCTGTTGTGGCCATAATGTCCTGTATCGCTTCTGCGGACTTCTCTGCACCACGGCACGCGATGATTACTCTAGCTCCCCTGGCTGCGAGCTCCCTTGCAGTCTCCAGACCGATGCCCTGGTTCCCTCCGGTCACTAGGGCGATTTTCCCGTCAAGTCTTGCATTGGATTTACACACACCTTTTACAGGTTCTATTCGAATCTTGTAGCAGATGAGAGCCAATAATATTAAGAGAAATAATGCTATGTATAAATTGATTCCAATCAGCAATAAATAATAAATAGCTGCGGGTATCATGTTGTCGCGTTGGAATGAGTGCGGCTACTGAGGCTGACGGCTATGTAAGTTTAGTGTGTGTTACCAGGGCTCTTGATCTTCTAAACTGTTTTGATTAAGGCTAGTCACATACATGCAGTTAAGTTTTATTAAAAATTTACTACTTACTCGTATATTACGACTATTTAATGTACATTGGTTAAGTAGGTTGGATAATTAATAAGTAGGTACCTAATTAATATTTAATCATTATTTGTTTACGTGGAACAAAAGTTTTGCAAATTATTTTTCAAAAATTACGCGGATGAAGGAGCAAGAATTTGAAGAGTTTAAAATATAGAATTAATATATTTTTAAGTCAATAAATGCATTTAATAAAACGGTAAAAAGTGTGTCTACTTCGCCAATAAAAAATTGGAAGAAAGAAAACAATAAATTAAAAAAATGTACTAACTAAATGCAGTTGGAATGTCATTAAGGGTCTGATGATAAGGAAGAGTAGTTGTTAAGGGAACTCCTCAACGATTAATAGTAGATACCTGGTGTTTGGGTTTGATTAATTTGTATTGATTAAAACTTTGCACCTATGTGGATGATATTAAACGTAGCCTAGCTTATACTAAAAAGACAAAAGAACCTCCTTTTTTATAACATAAGCCGGTAACCGAGCAAACGGATCACCTGATGGTAAGCAATCGGCGTCCCCCATGGAACCTGGAACGTCAGAGGCATTTCAAGTGCGTTACCGGCCTTTTGGGGATTAGGAATTTGAGGATTGTTGGGGATTCAGGGATTGGAGAGATTGGGCAAGGGGTAGGGGTAATTGGGCGTTCGGTAACCTCACTCACATGGCGAAACACAACGCAAACGTTGCTTCATGTCTGTTTTCTGAGAGGTCGAGGTATCGGCCCATTTGTGGCGAAGCATGGCTCTCCCACACTTAACAATACCCCTCTCCCACCGTCCTTTAAAAAATCCGACTTCAAAAACCAATAACAAACAAAAATAGAAATTAAACAGCAATTAATAACTGCCTTGTTGGCCGAGTGGTCTCAAGTGCGACTGTCGGGCAAGGGGTCTCGGGTTCGATTCCAGGGTCGGGCAAAGAATTACTGGGTTATGTTATGTTATGTTAATAACTTTTATTAGGTAGTTATTATGTACTGATATGTTACCTACACACAGATAGGTTAGAAGTCGGTGCCATAAATAAACTCATTATAAAATAAATATAACTGAATGGTCACAAATTGTAAACAGCTTAATATCAGGTGTCAATTGCACACTTGGTGCGGTAGCTGGGCAACTGACTGCCGCGTAACGTGTAGCGGATCCGATTCCCGCTCTAAGCAACTCTTTGTGTGATCCACAAATTGAAGTTCCGGCTCTATTATTATTTATTTATTTACTAGCTTTTACCCGCGGCTTCGCTCGCGTCACAAAAGGATAAAAGTAGTCTATGTGACATATACCAATACACACAGCGCCATCTATACCAATTCTTTTGTTTTCCCTCGGGAATATCAAAATTTTCCGGGATAAAAATTACCCTGTTATTTAATCCGGACTTCTAACTTTACGTGTGCAAAAAATCAAAGCAATCGGTTCAGAAGTTACGGCGTAAACAACGTGAATGATTGGAAACAACCTTCACTTCACGGAGCAGATTAGCACCGTCATCCGTATCGCCATCCCTCTCATTCATCACTTCTCCGCTGAGCGGTAATCAAGTCGCAGCCAACCAGCATCCTCGGCCTCATCAGGGACCACCATCGCCTGCAACGAAGTTGTGCAGCCTGGTTCTTCCCTACGGCCTCACCAGCGTCTAGGCACAGCACTTCTGCACACGGTTCTGAAGGACATCTCCTCCCGTCAACGCAGACGCCGGCCACTACGCACCTACCCTCGCAGCATCTCTTCCCCGACTCACCGTGGGACACTGCGAACTCATCTCTCCGACTCACTGGAGTTTCACCCTGCACCGCTCACCCGACTCACTGGGCACTCAGCGGCACGGTTCCGACCCACTGGAACTAGGGACGTTCTACACTGGCTCTGGCGCCACTCATCTCAAGCATCGACAGCCGTCTCAGCGGGATCGACCTCCGGTCTTGGGAGGGAGTGATGTGGCGACGCATGCCACATGTCAACGGATGACGTCACAAGAATCCTACATCGCACATGCAAAGTTTACAAGCGAATAAACACGGATAGAAAATCCCAACGAACAACTGTTGGGCAGAAAGCCCGCCAGGCACGATCACCTCGCCTGGTCGGAAGATCCTCCTTTTCCGATCTTAGGGAACTATACTCTCTGTTCCCTAAACTATATATAAATAATTTGACTGTTGGACCTTCTATACTTAAATTACTATTTATTATGATAATGGTTATGATTAATTTATTGATCTAGGCGACATGTGTGTGTAAACTTGTATGTTTGAAAACGCACCAACGTCAGCGGAGAAAATCTTAAATTAACTCAAAATTACGAGATATATTCACATAAAAATATACTGAGAAAAGCTCTACTAGTTCCGAGTCACAGAGGGGTTCTTCCTCATGAGCAGCGTGCGCGGTCGCGGCGATATCGCGCAGCCTACAGAAAAGATCTGAGTGTGGGGCAACGTTTAAAAAAAAGAAAAAGATAAGCATGTATTAAGCTTTTAATGAAAACTTATTTGATTTAGTAATTATGGCACCGACTTGTAACCTATCTGTGGGTGGGTAACAGCAGTACATTTTGACCAATAAAAGTTATTATTGCTGTTTTTGGTTTATGAAGTCAGTTTTTATATAGTTATGTGCTGCTCAAATACTTAATTTATTAATTACTTAATGACACAGTGAGGTAGGTATGGTAAGAGGCTACTGCATAGTAAAGGAATTTCATTCTTTGCTGATCTGGTTACACAAAAAGTACCATAGAAATAAAAATACTATATTTGTTCAATAGGCAATTAAATTACGATTATCTATTGAATTAACAGAAATAATTGCTACAAAAGGTCAGTTTACAACTTAAGTTTACTAACAGTTTATCATAGTATCTAATATTGCCGTCATTGACGAGTAAAAAAGTGATAACCTAATTGGATATTTATAATTATACAATAAATGAACAAAAAATGCTCATAACATCTTTCAAATACGCGTGAAGTGTTAAAAATTGAATGAATCAGGTTTCATCCTTACTAATATTATAAATCGGAAAGTGAGTTTGTTTGTTTGTTTGTTCCGCTTTAACGCCGTAACTACTGAACCGATTGCTTTGAATTTTTGCAGACGTAAAGTTAGAAGTCTGGATTAAATATTAGGGTACTTTTTATCCCGGAAAAATTTGGTATTCTCGAAGGAAAACGAAATTATTGGTATCGATGGCGCTGTGTGTATTAGCATATGTCACAAGCTTTTTATCTTTTTGTGATGCGTGCGAAGCCGCGGGTAAAAGCTAGTATCTCTGTAAAGTTGAAACATATGCCAGGTAACCCATAAACACTTTTGCTGTTTATAAAATAGGTCTTTACCAATGAACTTGCCGTTCTGCAGTACTGGCCATTGCAAATAGAATAATTTTTGTTTTCTCATTACAAATTAATTTTTTATTGATATTTCAATATTTTTCGTCATCGTGGATACTTTAAAAATTCGAGTAATTATGGAATATGAGTACCGTCGTAGCAGCAAGGCGGTACAAGCGGTACGCAGCATCAACGACGTTTACGGAGTTAACACTACAAACCAACGCGCCTCCTGGTATTGGTTTTGCACGCTTCCATTCTGGAAATTTCGACCCGAAAAATGACCTCGCGGTCGTTCGAACACTTAAGTCGACAATGACGAATTAAAGGCGATTGGGGAAGCTGATGATACACATTCTACGGCTGAATTAGCAGCATATTTCGATTTTAACGTCAATACAATATTGGTCCATTTGCGTCAACTTAGCAAGGTAAAAAAGGTTGACAAATGGGTGCCTCTGGCCTCACGAACTCAATGATCGCCAGCGCGAAGTACCTACGCATCGAGACGTGCTTGCACTGTTCTACAGACACACAAAATGAAGGAATTTTGAACCGCATTGTTATCTACGATGAAGCTCTTCTACAAAAGAGAAGTTTGCCACTGCTTGGTCGACTGGTGGGTTGGAGATCGCGGTTCAAGAATCAGGTTTATCAGAGTGCATTGCTCTGGTCTCTGTTTAATACATTGTCCTCTAGTCGGTTCTCATGATACCCGCAGGAAGAGTAGAGGTAGTGACTTATCTACTCTACTGTCACCACACGGCGATGGAATACATCACTAACTCATTGGCGATATAACAAAAATATTGTATCTGGACCACAAATAATTAATGGAGGTATATGATTATTTTGAAAATCAAATCACACTTCTCAAGTACCTACCTTGAAAACTTCTGTATACATATCTACAGGATCAAGAGAAAATAAATAGACAACCGGAAGAACTTTTTCTCACTTTATTGTGTCACTAGTATTTTGCTTATGACTTTTATATTTTTTCTAAATTAAAAGTAACACAAATATCTTAAATAACTTGTACGCTAAGTATATAAATGAATGTAATAAGTTATCGTAATCATGATTACAAAAATGTCCTTCAACTAAATGTGAATAAATAAATAAATCCGTATAAATAAACTAGTTTCGATAACATGACGATGACACGCATTTGTTGAAGGCCGGAAGACTTGTTCGGTTTACTTAATGATCAAGATAACTTTAGCTAGTCAGTTCAACACTTTTGTTCCAAACTCTTTCAACAAGATCTTCGTCATCAACAACTTGTTTGTACGTCACTTCACAGCATTCCGAGAAATACTTCCCTCGCACATTCTGCACCTCTTCAGCGACACACAGGTGGACAACTGTCTGCGCTCCCTCTTTAGGCGTCTTAAAGTTTAGTAAATCACAAAGAAACATAAATACTTTTCGAAACCAAGGAGGCAGTTTGTTGAATATATTCGTTCTGACCAAACCGGGATGTAAAGAGTTCACTGA